TACTACAGGTGCGTGCCACCACGCCTGATTAATTTCTGTATTTTTGGTAAAGACAGGGTTTCACTGTGTTGGCCAGGATGGTCTTGATCTCCTAACCTCATGATCTGCCTGACTTGGTCTCCCAAAGTGCTGTTATTTCAGGCATGAGCCACCACGCCTGGCCAAGGGAAAATATCTTTTACCTCTGTAGCATTAATACAAACATTAGTTTAAGATTATTCTTCATCCTCAAAATTGTGTCTTCAGTTTTTTCCCATGGCATGGAACCAACAGTGAGAAAAACTTATTGTTAGGACAGAGTCCATGGTCATGATTACATTTATTGAGCATTTATTTGCTGGACCGTACTAAACATTTGGTATACATTATTTCCACTTATTCTTTAAAGCTTTAGGATGGCCATTATCTTCAGTCTCACACATGAGAAAACTGAAGTGCTGAAAAGTCAATTAACTTGTCCATATTCCTACAGTACCCTGCAGAGCTGGTATCTGAACCCAAATCTACTCACTCTTGAGCCTGATCTCTTGTACTCTTTCCCTCTGTATTTATGCCCTTTCTACTTAAATAGAAAACATTTTAAGTGAAGTCTTAATCTTTTCTATAAGGAGAGCATCTCAGTGGTTGACACATATTCAATGCACACAACAGTCCCCTACACATACCGTGGAGTACAATGTCATCTGTCCTATTTGAATTTACCAAGGTATTAAGCTTATGCTTAACCAGACCTATATGATCAATTTTTTTTTCCTTTTGGGATGTAAAATTCCCCCAGCACCCAAATACAATTTAAAAAACATTTTTTTTTTTTTTACCAGCTGCTGAATATGTCCAGGGAACTGAGTGACCTAAAGAAACACCTGAAGGAAGCCACCGCCGCCATTGCAGCCGACCCTCTCTATTCAGAGGGTGCATGGTCCGAGCCGACCTTCACGTCCACTGAAGCGGCCATCCAGTCCATGCTGGAGTGCCTGAAAAACAACGAACTCGGCAAAGCTTTGCGGCAGATCAGGGAGTGCAGGTGACTCTGCTGTTTCTTTAGAGGTGGTTGCAGGCAGGGCTGTTACTCTGATGGCTGGAGTCTAGCCCACTGCGGAAGGCTGGGTATTCTACAGGTCTCTTCTCAGATCTTTACCCTTGCCCAGCCAGAAACGCTCAGCTTTCAGAACTTACATGTTGAAAGGGTTGGTGTTGGTTGTGGCCATTTGTCATCCCTAAAATGACAAAATGCTGAAGCACTTCAAAATGTACCTTCATATAATTTTAAACTAACATTTGAATACACCCTTTTTGGTTTTGCCCCTACATTCTGGTACAGTATTGTATTCACATTCATTGAAACCAGAATGCTATAGCACATAAGGTAAATGTTTTAAGCATATCAGATTCCATTGTGATATTTTTATATTTTTGATATTTTATCAAGATACTCAAGATTCTAAAATTGATTATGAAGGAAACCACCGCCACCGCAGCCAACCGTCTCTGTTCAGAGGGTGTGTGGTTTCCACAGCTCTGAATACATTATAACCCACTGAATCGTTTACTTTAGATGAGTGAATTGCCTGATATGGGAATTCCATCTCAATAAAGCCTTTTTTAAAAAATAATATTCTTATATTAATGAAGACTCATAAGCTCCCAACTTTGTGACCAATAGTGCCTCTAATCTGTGCTGTTCTTTTTGACTGCAGAAGTCTATGGCCCAATGACATCTTTGGAAGCAGTTCTGATGATGAGGTCCAGACACTGCTGAATATTTATTTCCGTCACCAAACTCTGGGACAGACGGGTACTTACGCTCTGGTGGGGTCTAACCAGAGCCTGACGGAGATCTGCACCAAGCTGATGGAGCTGAACATGGAGATCCGGGACATGATCCGCAGGGCCCAGAGTTACCGCGTGCTCACTACTTTTCTTCCAGACTCCAGTGTTTCCGGCACTAGTCTCTGACAGGAGCCTCCTGTCCCCACTGGGTTCCAAACTGGCAGTGCTGCCATGCTGGGGCGACGTCATTCAGTGTCTTCTCGGCCTTCAAAAGGCTTGGACAGACTGTTCTCCCTCTTGTTACCTGTAGGGCTTTTTCTAAAGAGGATGGCAGAACTTCCAATGTGTAGCAATACTATAAGAACCAAGGTAGCTTAGAACATCCTGGACAGACTCCACTCGTCATGCTGTGTGGCACAAATGGGTGACATTTGACCGAGCATATGCAACTCACTACTGAAGAAGTGACTTCCGTTGCATACCAAAGCTGACTACACTGAACAGTACCTTCCTTTCTAGAAACAATTTTAGATTGGCAAAAGTGCAATGTTTTCTTCACTCAAAAAATTTTATATTCTCAAACATGTACATTCTCTCCCTTTCTTGTTCCTTTGTTTTGTTTTCTTTTTCCTTTCTTTAGTGGGCTGAGAAAGGGGCAGGCAGAATGACGCTGGCCACTGAAAACTGTAAGATGGTCAAAAGCTGACAGCCTGTGTATGTGAAAAGGGAATTGTAAATGGACGGCAATGTAATGTACACTGTAATTTGAATAGAATTACTGTATCTAAAAGGAGCTGCTATGAACTACCTTTCTTACGTTGCTAGGCTACTGTTTCTGAAGGCCCTGGATCTCTTTGCACCAAAAATGGTCCAGATAGACTCTTTTTAAGGATCTTGGCTGCTTTTTACTAGAAGGTTGCTTTTCTGAGCATATTTATACTGCAGAAGGATGAGTGTTAATTTTAATTAACTTTGCCATTTTGTAGAGAAAAACTATTCACAGTGTAAATTCCAAGTCTTCTCACCAGTCAGGCATGCATATTTTAATATCCGTTTGGATAGCCGAAAGTAGAATCATAAAGGTAAAATATGAGTTGTTACTTTGTTTCTTAAATGTCATATTTTATGTGTGATGTATATGTAAAGGGCCATTCTTCAGTTCTCTCCTTAAACAATGCTGTCAAGTGTTCGATGTGTGCATGTGAACTTGCTGCACAGCAGAAACATATTCAGAGTTTATCTATGTAACTTATTCACTCTGTAAATACATTTAAAGTTTTTGTGATGTAAGCTTACTTGATATTCTGTTCAGAACTTTTTTTAAACTAAAAAAAAAAAAAAAAAGACAAAATACATGTTGACCATGGATTTTATTTCTGGTTAATGAAAATGTTTGACCTGGGCACACATGAAGTTTTGCATGTGAATTGCCAAAGTAACAACCCCAAGGGACATTCCTCACATGTGTGCTATGAACGGCACCCATGTAGGTCATGCCACGCATGGCCCTTATGAAGCTAGAGGTAAGTATAATCTCTTGGGAAGTTGGCTTCAAAACTGTGAGCTTCAATCAATTCTCTGTAACTAACCAAGGAAAAAAAAAATCAGAAAAAAGTGAGAGCTCTAATTCCCCATAATCTATAATTAGGTTGTCATCCTTCAGATTTGGAAATTGATTCTGTAGTGAGCAGAAAAAAGCAGGAGAAGTTTTAATTCTGTCACCAACACCTATCTGCTACCTACCACACTAGGAAAACAGGAATGCAGGGAGAAACACGTAACAATCTCATTTATGCTGTCTTTCTATTCATATTTTATTTGGACTAACAAATATAACTTGTTTTACTAGCACACGACTACTGAATCATTGGCAGTAATATTCTAGGAGTATCCTACAGAAAAGAACCTAACCTAGGATTTTTTTTATGTTACCACAGATATAACTACTAGTAGATTTTAATAATTTTCTGAACTGCTGTATACATATTTTTCTGATGGTTTAATTTTTTTCAACTTGTCTGAAAGATGATTTGCTATGATTTGTAGTAACAACCGAATCATGATCTCTCTGAAAAATACCTCATAAAATAAAGGTTTCTGTGGGTAACCACAATAGCCAACTTTCAGAGAGTTTTGTTAGAAGGCACAGTAGAAAGAACAGATTCGTCATGAACTGAATTTCCCACCATGCCTTCTTACCCAGCAGAGAACCACTGTGATGGTTTAGTCTTAAAAAAAAAAAAAATAATAGGATTTCAACAGTGCATTGCAATCTAAGATATTAACACAGGAAGCAGTGGGGTTTTTTTTGTTTTTCTCAATTTTATTTTTAAAAGGAGATGTATTAATGTGAAAGATTTCTTCTACTTTTCCTCTATCTCATCACATCCCCTCCTTGAAGTGATGGGAAAAAATTGTGTAGGATGCAGCACCACCCCAGCAGAGCCCAGCAATAACTTTAGATCCACTGGTCAAATCTTGTTGCCTATTGCTCTGTGCCTCTGTTACTGAAGCATTAATGTAAATTGCCTTCCCCAGGGATACAGAGAAATAGAGGTACCAAAGGAAAGGGTAGATATTTAACAGATGCCTCCGTGATAAGAAAGATTCCTCCTTGCATCTAACTGCTTTCTAGCACTAAAACATGATACACTTTTTATCCACCTGCAGAATAAAGCAACCCAGACAGGTGCTCTGTAACTTAGATGTAACCTGATTAAAATTATAGTCTCCAAATACAGTGTTTTAGAAAAGGCACTGTACATTTTTAGAGGCATGTGAATGTCATTCCCACCTCTTACCCATTTAACATAGGTGAGATGTTAAGAAAATGTGCTGGTGTTGCTGTGAAATAAAGATGCCTGTGATTGTAGGCAACGCACACATGCATGAACATCCAAAGTTAGGTCTCAAGGCTCTCCTAGTTCCAAGTCCTAACAAACAATGATCTTTTCAGTGAACTGTAGAATTCTGGAAAGAGTAAGCGTACCTCCAGGCTGCTTACATCAATAGTTTACATGTGCTTCCAGATGACTGCCTTAACAACAGAAAATTAGTGTCCATCGGTGAGTATTAAAGTGTGTTAATTGTATCTCAATAAAACTAGTTTTCAAAGTTTTCAATGCATTTATTTTGGATCAATTAATGTTTGGATACCTATCATGAGCCAAGATATTTCTTCATTCAGCAAACATGTATTGCATATCCACTCTGGGCTAGGCACTGTTTTAGAGGATACCGCAGCCATCAAAACAGATGTGGTCCCTGTTCCCATGATGCTCCTACATTTGAGTGGAGGAAAACGTACTTGTCTATGTTGGGTAGTGATTTGTGCCATGAAGAACAAAACGGATACAGTGAGTAATGGGGATGGGGCTATCTTAGCTATCATTCTAATAAGGTGGTATCTGAGGAGAGATCTGAAGCCATACAATGGCTATCCAGGGAAAAGAGCATTCCAGCAAAGGAAAAAACACATGCAGAGACCCTGAAGCAGGAGTAGGATCACTTTGTCGAAGGGACAGCAAGGAAGCCAATGATTGAAATGAGTGAAGACAGCGTTCGGAGAGGACCGCCAAAAGTTCTGTAAGCCACAGCAGGACTTTGTCCCTTGCCGAGCAAGATGGGAAGCCACTGGAGGTTTGCAGGCCGAGCTGTGACTTACATTTAAAAGGATTACTCCATTTGGGATGATGAAAAAAAGTTCTACAACGAAAATTTTGTTGTGGTTATACAGCGTTGTGAATGTACTTAATGCCAATGAATCGTGTACTTTAAAATGGTAAATTTCATGTTGTATATGTTTTACCACAATAAAAATAATTGTTTTAAAGAATCGCTCTGGCTGCTATGTGCAGAACAGACTGCAGGTGGGCAGAGGTGGAAGCAGGAAGACTAGAAAGACAGCTGTGGCGATAGTGCATTCACCAGGCGATGCTGGCTTGGGCTAGGGTAATCACAACAGAAGTGATTAGTAGTGGGCATATAATTCAGAGCTACAAATAATTCAGAGCTAGAGCTGACAGGTCTTACCAATGACACAAAGAATGGGAGAGAGTTTGGCCCAAACAACTGGAGGAATGGAGTCGCCACTAACTGAGATGAGGGAATGTATGTTTGGGAGGTAGGAACCAAGATTTATTCTTCAGACATGTTAACTTTGAGATGTCTCCTATCCAAGACAAAATGGTGAGTAAACAGGTGGTTATGTGAGTCTGTGGTTGAGGAGCAACGTCTGGCTAAAGGCATACATGTGGCATTTAAAGCCCCTGAGAAAAAAATAGGATACTCCCCTGTCTTGTCCAGCCAGGGACTGGGATCTCTCAAAAAAATCAGAGTGTAGGCAATGAGTGTGAAATCTCAGATGCACATTAAACCATGTAGGGGACTTAAAACGCCAACACTCAGGCTTCCTCTTAATTGATTTAATTGGTTTGAAGCTGTGCTCAAACTCCAACACTGCTTAAGTTTCCCCAGCTGATTCTAATCCACTACCAAGATGGGAACATTGCTTTCTCCTTTCTCAGACCTAAGAATCACCCCAGGGTACTAGTCAAAAATGCAGAATCCCTCAGGATGACCCCTCTAGAGACCAGTTTGGTAAATCCAGCACAGCGTCCCTCAAATCAGCATTGTAACAGCAGCTCCACTTTGAAAGACACTGAACTAAAATAAACTTCCTATATAGCAAAGTGCTTTTTCTTCCAAAGCACACCCCCAGTCGTTTTCCCCACGTAGGATCATGGTGTGATTCTAACCAAATCTGTCATTGAACTTTTTGTAACTTTCCTATTTGAGGTCACAGTGAGTGAGTGGCTAGAATATACTCATCCACTTACAGATCAGTTTCCTGGCAGATGCCTCCTTCTCTGTCACCATCTTCTGTAGCCCAGATCCTGCTTTTAACAGCAAACTTGCATGGATATTGTATTCGAATTTCAGATTCCAAGAACTTGGGCCACCTGGCGTGAACTTCCAGGAGCTCCATGGCCAGGAGAATGGGGAGATTCCTCCTGGCCCCCTTTCCTATGTCCAACCCTTCTGTCCTCATCCCTATTTTAAAAAGCCCAGAGACTGAAATTCTTGCCACCTGGCTGTACTATCCACCTCCTTTCCCAACCCCATCACTGTCGTCCACAGCAGTGGCTGTGACTCTCAGTTGCATTAGAAGCATTGGGGAAGCTTTTTAAAAATTCTGAAGCTTGGGCCCCAACCCGGATACCTTAAATCCTTTATAAGGCTCCTCTGACTATTTTGAATTGCAGCCGCACTTAGGAACCACTGACCTTCTCCCTGCCCCTTATTCATCAGAGAGACTAGAGCTTCTTGCTCACCGCAGCTTCTGATGTCACTTTCAGGGCTTCAGCAGTCTTCTATATAACCTGTACAAAATCTTTTTTCTCTCATTCTGTTAATAACATTCTCACCTCCAAGCATTTTCACTCTACTCTACCTTAGCCACCTAATTTCCTGGCTATACCAAAACCTGATCCACAGAAGTGAGCCAGCTCCAGAACCCCACCTTCAGGAGTCCATGGGTCATTATAATCCCTCCTTTGCTGACATTCACAAGGGGTTCCCTACCCCTGTCTTCTGCTCTATCCTTTTACAATCAAAGGACCATCACTGCTCCCTCAGAGGCCAATCGCTCAGCTGGTTAAACCCCAAGCTTAGCTAAACCTAAAATTGACTCTTCCCACACCTGCTCCAGAAGTGTGACATTACTAGGATGAAGATCTTTCTAGAATGCAAGTCCCACTTGTAGTGTCACACTAATAATGTCACATTTCTAATAATGTCTTCTCGTAATATCTTCTAGTAATGTCTCAACACTATCGGACAATCCTGTAATACACTATGCCTTCCTGATCATTTCAATTTCCTAATGCCTGAGAATCATTTCACATATTCTCCTCTCTCCTCAGCATCCTACCTGTCTCAGCTGATGGCTTTGCTTCATAATTCATTGAGTAAACAAATGAGTCTCACCTTCCCCACCAAATATATAAAGTTATCTAACTAGCCCTGTGTTCTGGGTGCTCTATCCTTCTACAGTCAAAGGAACATCACTGCTCCCTCAGGGGCCAATCACTCCACTGGCGCTCAGGACCCCATCTCTGCTGCCTATTCAAGGGCTTTGCTCCTGCAGACGTTCCCATCTCTGTTCTGCCATCAGCTGCTCTTCACCAAATGATTCCCTTTAAGATGCCAACATACTCAGCGCCTCCCGTTTCCTCAAATGCCATTCTAGCTATCACCAGTTTCTCTACTTTCTTACAGCAAAACATCTAGGAAGTGCTACTTCTGTTTGCTATCTGATTTACCACTGGCTTTCATCCACACCATTCCATGGAAACTTCTCTCTTCAACCTCACCAGTCACCTCCGTGCTTTCAAATCCAATGGACCCATCTGTCTTCACCTTCTCAACCTCCCAGCAGGATTTGACTCAGTCGACTTTCCTGCCTTCCGGAAATACTGTTTTATCTTCATTTTCATCTTATCCTCTTCCTATCCCTCTTGATCTCATCCTTCATCTAACCTCTAAGTTCCTGCTACTCCAAATACAGTCTGGGGAACCAGCAACATTGATCACATCTGGGAGCTTCCTAGATTTGGTCTCAACCCCAGACCTACAGAATCAGAATCTTCATTTAACAAGCTCACCAATGACTCCTGGGACGTTAAGGTTTTAGAATCATTGCCTCAGTGCTGGTATGCCCCAGAGCCCTGTGTTGTACTCCCTTTTCATTTTTTCCTGCTTCTGTAAAACTTTTTTAATTTTTAAATTTTTTTATTTCCGTGGGTTATTGGGGAACAGGTGGTATTTGGTTATACGAGTCAGTTCTTTAGCGGTGATTTGTGAGATTTTGGTGCAGGTGATCCCATCCAGACCCATGGCTTTAAAGACTGTCTCCTTTTTTTCTCCAAGTCTATCCCTAGCCCTGGCTTATCTCCTAAACTCCAGGTGCATATATCTAATCGGCTGCATGGCATTTCCAGCTGGATGTCTCCAACACTTCATAGTTAGGTTAAGAACAGAAGCCCTTCCCACATCATAACTAGCTCCACTAAAATAAGAGGTAAATGTATTGAAACCTCAAAGTGACAGGCACTAATTATTCTAAGTGATAAACATGCCTCAACTCCTTTAATTCCTATCTCTTGGTTGTGTGAGGCCTATCATTATTCCCTATTTTGCAGATAGGTAAACTGAGGGGTAGAGAACCACTTGCCCAAAATTATC